CTCCAGTCCAATCTGTTTTCCTGCAAATGGCATGATTTTATTCTTAAAACATACAGGCATTTGCCCTAGAGGCGTGTGTCTTACAGATGTGTTCTAGTAACCAGGCTCTGTAGAAGCAGGAAGGAGTCTTTGGTTTAACAAAACAAATGATAGAGAATTAACTGTTTCACATTGAAGCTCATTTAGAAATTTACACAATGCTTGGAACCTTGGATTATGCTTTGAGAGTTGTTAAGATCAATAAAATAAATTTTGTACAACTAAAATATTTGTAACACTGATTTCCAGTGTCTTTAATTTTATTTTTACATTTAAATAGTGGGGAACATTGTTTTGATCATTTGTCTTTTTTTTTTTTTATTTTTTTTGCTACCGGGAATCGAAATCACAACCTCATTCTTGCTGGACAGGCGCTGTGCCACTGAGCTAGAGCCCTGGCCGGTCATTTGTCATTTTAATGTTTTGGTATTTCCTTCTTCCATTTCTGGTAGTTGTAGCTTGTTAGCTCGTGACTAGGGGACAGATTTAAACAAATTTCCCCCAAACAAATCCCTCCCTTTTTTATTGAGACAGGGTTTCAAAATATAGTCCAGGAGGCTGGCTTTGAACTCACTATGGAGACCATCCTCCAGGATCCTCTTGCCTCTCTGTCCTGATTGCTGGAATTACAGGCATAAGCCACAATGCCCAGCTCACCAGCCATCTTTAAAAGCTTATACGTTCCTAGGGGAATAACTGGGGATTAAACCTAGGGGTTTTGCTAATCTAATGGTGTGGAGTGGAATTATGACTTTAATTTGTATTTTGCTTCCGGTGTTGATGTTGAGATCTTTTCATGTGTTTTTTTTTGCCATCTGTATCTCTTCTTTGGTGAAGTGTCTGTTCATATTTAACTATTTAAAAATAAGTTATTTTCTTATTTCTGAGTGGTGAACTTTCTTCTTAGAGGTAGCAACAGCAGTATCTAAACTTATTTTTTTTAGATACCAGTAGCAGTACATGGATTTAGCTTAATCATCACAATAATTCTTTGCGGCGGGTGCTATTAGTCTATATGGAAGGTATGTTCTATGTTTTTATGTACTAGAATCTTCAAATCTGAGCTCAGAGAGAGATAGAATTATAAAACAGAAAGCCTTAGCTATAATAACTTTTTAAATAAATTCTATTTAACAGGAAAAAATATCTTAACTTTAGTTGGCATTTAATAAGTTCATTCACTTGACACAGCTAATAATTCAAATGCAAATGTGAACAATTTTGTAGGCAGCCATACAGCTTTACATTATGATATATACTGACTCAATATCTAATTTTTGAACTGATATATCCACATTATATACAGATACATTATTTTTCCATGACATATCTTAAATTGCCATATTTAAAAGTTTAGAGATTTAGTTATATATTGTCATCCTGAAGTATTAATATGTGGTGCTTTTTAAAAAATATTTGGTGCTTTTATGAATCATAGTAATAACAGCGAATATTTATCAAGTGCTTAGGACTATATCCAGTACAAGCACTCATAAACATGGACTAAATTTCTTGTTCAAAGTCAGGTTTGTTGAGATACAATTTACAGGTAGTATAGTTCATTTCATCCTATTTAGTTTTATGTTATATGAATTTTGACAACATACACAACATTTACAAATTGTATGTCCAGTGCTGTAATGAAGATACAGATTATTTCCATCACTTTAAACAATTTTCCTATTCTCTGTGGTAGTTAAGCCCTTCCTCTTGTCTCTAAAACCTGGCAACCACTGATAAGATTTCTGTCTCTTTTATTTTGGCTTTTTCAAAATGTCCCATAAATAGAGTCACATAGTATGTATTTTGAGTCTGGCTTATTTCATTTAAAGTAATGCTTTTACTTTCATCCATGCTGTAGCATATATCAAAAGTTTATAAACTCCTACATGTTTATTGCTGAATAGAATTCCATTGTATAGATATACTACATTCACCAACTGATGAACATTTGGTTTTCCAATATCTAATTATGAATAAAATGGTTACAAATATTTGCTTAGTTTTTCACAGAAACTGCTAAAGTGTCTAACAAAGTAGCTGTAGTATTTTCCCAGACAATGTATGAGAGTTGCAGTTACTTTATATCCTTGTTAGCACTTGGTATTGTCAGAGTTTTGGTTTGTTTTTGGTGTGTTGTATTCAACCCAGGGCCTTGCACATGGTAGGCAAGCACTTTACCGTTGAACTACATCCTCAGCCCTATTTGTTTTAAGCTGTTGTAAAAGGTGTGAAGTGAAATTATGACTTTAATTTGCATTTTCCTATGCTTTTTTTTGCCTTCTGTATTTCTTCTTTGGTGATGTGTCTGTTCAAATCTGACCCTTTCAGAGTGGGTTGATATACTTCCCCTAGGGATGAACAACAGTGATTGATATTCTAAATAGGCATCTATCACCTTGGGGTGGAGGACCAAACCTCCTTAACCCACCCCTTCCAGGAAAGTCCTTGTGTGCCCATGTGTGCTCGCTGCAGTTTGTTTCCCCATTTGATCCCCATTTAATCAGTATCCAAGTGACTGACTGTACTTGTGTACTTATTGGGTGACCTTAGTTTTTTCCCACCTCACACTCATTCTGTGATTTGCCATTGGATCAGTTCTACCTAAGTGGCTATACTTGTAATCTTATTGACTGGTTATCGTTCTCTCCCACTTTAAGGCCACCTCACCTTGTGGCTTTGCTCAATAAAACACTCTTGAGAAAGCCGGGTTGGTGGGCAACCCACTTTCCAGGCCCCTATCTGTCTGTGTCAGACAGAAGCTTTCTTTCTCTCAATAAATTCTTCCTACTCTTAAAAAAAAGAGGGTTGTTTTCTTATTTTTGAGTTGTGAGAAGTTCTTTGTGAACTTATTTTCTTTAGATGCCAGTATCAGTACATGGGTTTATTTTCATCATCACAATAACCCTTTGCAGTGGTTCTGTTTGCCTATGTTATAAAGAAACAATGGCACAGGATTAAGTGATTGCCCAAAATAAGGCAAGTATGTTAATAGGTAGCAGAATTGGATATTGAGCCCAAGTAGATTGTAGAACCTGTGCTAAACCATTTGCTTTTTTTTTTTTCTTTCATACACTACCATGCAGGTATTAATTTTTTTGGTGGGGAGTGCTGTGAGTGGAACTGGGACTCAGTTCCAGTAGTTGGTACAATATATCTAGTAGGTTCCTGCTGAGAGAAAGGGGCAGTATATTGTAATAGTAACCCTGGAAGGCCGGGTGTGATGGCACATGCCTGTAATCGCAGCACTCTGGAGGCTGAGGCAGGAGGATCATTGCAAATTGGAGACCAGCTTGGGCTACATAGGGAGTTTAAGGCCAGCCTGAACTGCATAGCAGGAGCCTGTCTCAAAAAGACCAAAAAAAAAGTAACCCTTAGGAGCACTTGTTTGCCTCAAAGAGGGATAATTTATTTGTGTATTTCAGGTCTTTTACTTCTGTGTATATGCTGGTGATTAAAAGTACTTCTAAATTATCCTCTAAATTTACCTATTATTAAGTAATGAAGTGGTTTAGATGAATAGAATTTTTCAATAGCAGTTTATCCATTAATGTATCTGTACATCATAAAAAAAAACCTAACAAACTTGATGTTGAAAACCAGTACCATACTATTGCACATCAAGACACTTAGTATATAGTGATATACTGAGGGCATATGCACAGCTTACTGGCATTACAGAATGGCTTCAGGTCCAAGAACTTTTTAAGTTATATGTAGTTTCATAAGGTTTTTTTTCAAAGTTTTATTATCGACTGTTTGTTCTGATAACATCTTTTTACTATTGCCCTCCTTCATTCTTTATAATTTCTATTTCTAGTTAGCTAAAAGATGATACTCAGTTTATTGGGCATGAATGGATATTTTCTAAAATAAGGTTCAGCTGTGGGAAATGATTTGGGGGCTTTCCAGTGAACTGTGGCCTTCCTTTGACGGCTGAGAGAACCTTGTTCTGAATAAGTAAGCTACAGTGAGCTCAATGTGACATTTGGCTGTAGAAAAAGTAATATATATTTTGCATAATTTTAGTGAACAATTTGTTAAGCTGTGAAGATTATTCTAGTAAAAAGATAAACTTATCAATGTTCAGTGGAATGGAAAAAATAGGCTGGAAGTAGGTTTACAGTCATGTTTTTTAGCAGTTTGTGAAGTTCATAAGTCAGTGACAGCTTGTTTTCTCATCTGTGTCTCTAGTAAAGCAGGATAATTACTCCCAAGTAATTAACTAAAGGAAGAAAATCTTGCTAAATTGTTTTTACTCTGTGGCTGTTGTTTGGAAATAGTTATATATTATGATTACATTGTTTTTTATGGGGTTTTACCAAGCTTGATGTTCTATTCAAAATCATTTTGCTAAGTTGGACTTTGTAACATGGATTTAAAAATTTTTATAAGCCATATTAATTTGCATTTATTTTTCCACTGAACTTTGAATTTTTTAGTGGATTTTATCTGTTTAAAGAACCTATAAATCTGCATCGACTATTGCAGTTTGCTGGCTTTTCCAGATTACATAGCAGTCTGTCCCATGCATATAAGGGTTAATGAGTAGCCAGATAAGACTCACCAGTTCATTGTTACAGAGCAACAGTGTGCAGTCTGTCTTCCATCTTCTCTCATACTCTTTTCCATTCAGAGTTGTATTTATTTGATAAAAATTAGTTTTAAAAATTGAGATTTTATATTTTAAAACAATATACAGTATTTAATTTTGCTTTCTTATAGATACTCATTCTATTTTATTGTTAAATTTAAATCATGGCAATTAACATGAGTTTAGTAATGGTTTCATCAGGATAGATCTTGCTTCTTCATTTTACCTCCCTCCTTGTCCTATTAACCTCCTCCTCCCCGTTTTTACCTGTAGATTTGCATGTTTGACCTAGCAGAATAATTGGGTCCACAGCAACATGGGCGTGTCTCCCTTAGAAACACTTAGTTTCACGTATGACTCATAAGCTGAAGCACAGACACCACTTCCCCAATCTACAGGAGCCATTTTAACAGCATAAAACTTGCCGGATTGCTTTTTATTTTCAAGCCCAAAAGGCGAAATCTAAAGAGAAAGAATGTTTAAAGGTAACTTGTTATGATTTTGTGTGTTTGCTTCTGGCTAATTCTTGTGCTGATAAACGGAGGGTGGGTCTTACCTGCCAAAGAACATGGCTGAATGTGTTCTTTAACTTGGATAAAATGTGTGTAGTCAGTCACATGCCTGATTGCACTTAACTATTAGAAGGAAACAAAGCATTCAAATGCTGGAAAGTTGTAGTTCTTCTTGGTAGAGCATTTTTATATGTGTGTGCTTGGTATTTTTTTCCCTGTGTGATTTCAGAATAAGAGATTTTTTTTAAAACTACACAAAGCAAACTAGGTCAAATTTTAATTTAAAAATGTAATTGTATTTGTGGGGGTGGCTAGAAAGTTACAGTTAACTGGAATACACACATGTGATGTGGATGTTAAAAATATTAAGAGTAGTGGCTTTACTTTAGGCATTTTAATTAGGTTGAAGTTTTGGGATAACTCAGTCATAGGTATTGCGCATTCTATCCTTTGTTTTCTTTCTTTTTAAAAAAATTAATGAATTATACTAAGTATTTCATTTTGAAAATTAAGCAATCATTTAGATAAAAAGTAGAAGTGAATATTAAGAAGGAGGACTAAATTAATCATTTACTATTAGAACAAAGTGAAGCTTTACAGTTCAGATTGGAAACTTGTTTTAAATAGTAATTTCAGAAGCAAAGTTGTCGTCTAAAGGAACATGTAACTATTTTAATTTTATGTAAAAAGGAAAAGTGGAATATTGACCTTTCCTGTACTACTGCTTTTAAAATTTGATTGTTTTGAATAAAAAAATTAAAAATCTTTTATAAATGAGAAGATTGGCCAGTCTTTTCCTGAATATTTAATCATTGAAATTTTGAGATTTTGGCCAGCAAATTGTACATTCTAGAATTGTACATTGTACATTCAAATTGTACATTCTTGAAGTTCTAGGTAGTCTTAGAAGCTGAATGTAATAGTGTTTTGTAATAGTGTTTTAATTTTGAAACACACTCATGAAATTAAAATTTGAATAGTAAAATTTGAATATGCAATGATTAGGAACAAAGGTTTGGGAAATAAAATTTACGAAGTTATTTATTATTGACCAAAATATTTAGCTAGTTATTTGACAGTTCTTACTAACTTTCTAAGTACTTGAAGTCCTATCAGATTTAAAAGGGAAGATAGAAAGGCAGTCTGTTCTTATTTCTTACTCTCTTTTGAAAGGAATGTTGATATTAGCCGATTTCAATTTCATATTCTTATTTTTTTTTTTTTTTTTTTTTTTTTTTTTTTTTTTTTTTTTTTTTTTGGTTTTTCTCCGGTACCGGGAACCTCATATTCTTATAAGAAAGGTACAACGGACATTTTGTCAATTCAGCTCTGAGCCATTTGCTATCTTCCTCATGTTTGTGTATTGCCGGTTTAGTCGGCCTTGGAGAAAGCAAAGGCTGTATTTGCTTCAGGTCTGAACTCTGTGAAAAATCCAGTGACACCTTTTTGCTTTTTTTTTTTTTTAAGTTTTTAATAAAGAGAAATCAAAAGGTACACAAATAAGCAATGTCATTTAAAAATTGGAGTAGAATGTAGTTTCTTAAGATGGTTACAATTTAAATAAAGTAGACATCTGTCATCTATGTCCATTTCTTATGTGATAAAAGATTGAGGTAGAGTTTTAAAAGAAAAAAATGGAAAGAAAAGGCTAGAAAGACTTATTTCCCAGCCCCTAACCCCAACACTTCTCTTCCTTACATAGGTTGAATGTAAGTTTACACTGAGTCATCAGAATTATACTTAGAATTCCTGATTTAAAGAACTTCACTGCTGAATGAGACTGAAAGTTGTCTGGCTGCCTCCCTTTGTAGATGACTAAACAGTGGCCCAGAGAGGTGCTGTGACTGGCTCGGAGTTAGGTAGGGCTTCCAGTCAAGCTGCTCATGCTAGTCTGCACCAACAAGTGATGCTTTGTTTGAAATGGCCTGTATTTCCTTAAGAGTAAATAAAAGCTTCATTAAGTTGTTTAGAGATGATTTTGATAAGAGGCAATCAAATGAGTTAACCAGGGGTTTGAAAATGTGTTCAAGGTACAGTAGTTTCCTTTTTCTTCAGAGAGATAGCATATTTGTTTAACTTCCACAACAGCTTTTTTCCTACTATTTAGATTTGGGGGGGGGCTGGGGATTTAGCTCAGCGGCAAAGCGTCTGCCTGGCAAGCGCAAGGTCGTGAGTTCGGTTCCCGGTACCGGAGAAAAACAAAACAAAAAAAAACAAAAAACAAAAAACAAAACAAATAGATTTGGGGTGGGCGTAGTTGAAGCATAGTTCGTGATGCTGGCTTTGTAAGGTGGTCCCAGATGGAAATACAAGTTGTTTGGAACTCATTTAAATTTTAGAATACAAAGATAGGTTTATTTCTCCTTGATTTTTACCTTGTAATTTTTAGGAACATAAATACTGCTCAATATGATACCTTTTCTACTGAAATATGTGTATGCGTGTGTGTGTGTGTTTGAAACTTTGTAGGAGACTATAAAATTTACTTTAAGCTTTAATGTTACATATCTTAAATTTGATTTCATAAATAGTAATTAATAATTTTATTCCATTTGTCTTTGTCATATTCCTTCTCCCCTTCTTTGAGAGCTTACCATATTATAGATACGGTATATTGAGAATACATAGTCTTTTTCTATTAACATTTTGATGTGTTCTGTTGGGTGGTTGGATGTGCACTTTAGATCTGCTTGTTCTTTAGGTCTGCAATTTGGATTGTTTTTAACTTTGTGTATAACTTGTTGACTCTCCTACATTTCTGGGTGTTCTAACCAAACAATTCAATGTCAGATCCTCTACAACATGACTGTTACTGTCCTAGAGCAACAAACAGTGGGAAGGCCAGAAGCATGAGCTCTATCATCACATACTTAAATTCTTACTGGGAAAACAGGGCTTGGTAACATATGTTCAAATAAGTAAAGAATGGAATTAAACCACTGACTCAATTCAGGTTTACACTGTTTATGGAGATGAGAGATGACTGAAATTTTTAAAATAGGAAAGTTTATCTTGAAGGAATTATGAGTAGTGAAGAATGAATTGTATTTACCTAGGTTAAGAAGAGTGATAAAAATAATAGGAAGGCAAGGGATGTAGTTCAGTGATATTTGCTTGCCTAGCATGAGGCCCTGAGTTCAATCCCTAACATACCACCACTATCAATACCACTCCCCGCCAAAATCTGAATTTTGACAAAGTAGCAGCAAACACATGAGTAGACAGGGATTATTTACTACATCAAACACTTAGCTACCCTTTTTGCTGTATTATATGACAAATTGAGATGTCTGGGTCTTATGACAAGGGTAGAAAATCTTTAAAAAGCATGTAGCTGTCAGTTTAAGCTCTATCTGGTGTCTGCATGTTACAGTTGAAAGAAAAAATTAAACTGGATTACTGGTGTATGCCTATAATCCCAGCTACTCAGGAGGCTGAGACAGGAGGATCCCAAGTTTGAGGCTAGCCTGGGCAATTTACTAAGATTATGTTTCAAAATTTTTTAAAAAGGGCTGGTAATATACTCTGTGCTTCTTGTGTTCAATCACTAGAATCTAAAGAAGAGGAAGAGGAAAAGTATACTTTTAAAGAAACAATAATTAAGCTTTGGTGTAGTAAAGATCTACCTGGTTTCAACTCAGGTTCTGATTCATTAAGTCCAGCCTAGATTTTAGTTTAGTAATCAGCATTTTTATAAGTAACATAGAGGATTGTGATACAGGCGCTTATAAGGCTTTCTTCTCAAAAAGTTTATGGGTTTAAGGCTGTGAGGAGTGGTGAATCAGTTATTTAGCATTTTAATTAATATTTGTGTTTTTAAGCAGCAGTGGTATTTTGAAGCCATTACTAAGGAGGGAAGGAAGGTGACAGGATACCCTATATTAGGATTAAAACCTATGTGGCCTCCTCTTTCTATCATAGTTATCCATTCATTCCTTTTTTTTTTTTTTTTTTACTGTCTCTCCAGTTTTCTTTTACTATAATTTTTCTTTTTTTTTCTTTTGTTTTCTTTTTTGGTTTTTCTCTGGTACCGGGAACCAAACTCATGACCTTGTGCTTGCCAGGCAGGCGCTTTTGCCGCTGAGCTAAATCCCCAGCCCCTACTATAATTTTTCTTGCTCCTCACTCCCAACTTACTTCCGTATTGACCATGATGTATAAGCTGAAAAAAAAAATTGAACTGATTTATGTTTTTCAATATAATTAATTTATGTATAAACTCTTCTAATGTTAGTTCTTTCATTGCATCCATTGGTCTATAGGAACTGTTATTGGTATAGAATGGCATTTAGTCTTTAGACAGTTCTTCTCCTGAGAAATGTACTATTATTATTTGTAATTGTTTGAGAGGAATTAATTTTTAAAAGCTGTATGATACTTGGCTATCAATTTTGGGGCTTCTTGGGACATATTTAAAATAGCATCATTGACTGCATATCTACAGCCCTTGACTCACATTACATCCCATCAAATGGGTTGTGGTTATGTGTTCACTGACTGTTACATGAATTGATGAGGAGTCTTCCAGTTGAATGGTCTGAAAACAATTATTGCTTCTGTCAGTTGGCTAGAATATTTTTCTCCCTATTTAGGATCTGTTTCATATAAATGGTGGAAATTAAATTAGTATTTTTTAGTTAATTCAGATGATTAGGGCAGTTTTCAACCATCTGAGTAGTCTGTTTTTTCCTTATGGCAGACTCACCGAATGTGCTGTGTACTATAGTAAATGTGACTGTTGAGCAATACTACAAATGTCTTTTCTGGTTTTGCTTCTAGGCACCACTCACTTTGTGCCTGAGGAGAAAAATAATACATTGTGTACTATTTGCCTTGTTGACTGTGGGGTAGGAATTATATATATGAGCTTTGGTTGTTAAAATTTCCTTGCAGAGAAGTTTGATTCCTTCCTTCTCTTCCAGGTATAAATATGTGAATTAATACCATCATCATGGTTATCAGGGACCTATTCC